ATAAAATTAATGAAATGCGTGTATATTTTATCGGATTTTTTCTAATTAATGCTTTAATATTTATTTTAATTTAAAAAAAATATTTTTATATAAATTTACATTATTTATTTTTCCAGCAGAAACAATTGATTTTTGCAGTTTATGTTGAACATAAATTTAGTATTTTTATATTATTTATTTTATATTTGAATATATCATAGAAAAATACCGTCACCAGTACATATGTGGAAAATTATTATTGGACTAACTTATAATAAATGTAAACAAGCTTTTTGTCAGGAAAAAGTCTTAACAATGCATTAAAATGATTATATTTTCTATATATTTAATTAAGTTTACTAGATAATAAATTGAGATAAAACTACGTATATAAAATAAATAATTACCTTATGTGATTTCTAATTTATGAGTAAATGTTTATTCTAATGATTTAATTGTATATCAATCTATGTAATAACTTTAATATAAAGATTTTAATTGGTACATGATATTTGCTTTTGATCTAAAAGCGCTGCAAAGCGTATAAAATAGAAAAAGGTACGTATTTACAATTTTAAAAATCTAAAAATATTTTGGTTATTACTCTTATTGCTTTTTAACACTTATGCTTTAAAGAAATTATAATTTTTCTTCTTTAATAGAATTTAAATGCTGCTGCAAGTATTCACACCGTTGGCACTCTTTTGTTAATTGCTTTACCGCTGTTGCATAAAGCCGTTGTAGTTCAAGTAATCCCTGAAGTTCTTCATTAAGCGTATCCCGTTTTAAACGTTCTTCGTTGTATTTTTGGCGTACTTTCTCTTCAGTATGTTTAACACCAATCACAATTGTATCGAATTGTTTAATAAAATCCTCCCGTCCATGAGCAGTCATCATGCCTTCGTTGTAAGCTTCACATATAGAATTCAGTAGCGATAATTCCTTTTCCATATATCGTTTCTTATCATTTAAAGTATTAAAAAGAGTATAATATTGCTTAGTTTCAAGATGTTTGGCACTCACTGTAAAATATAAATTTTACCATTTAACTAATGATAGATCACATATGATAATATATTAAATCTAACTTACTTTCATTGTAAAGTTCGTGGAAACGTCGTTGATACTGAGTCAGTTCGGTGCGATCAGGTATTGAATCTAATTGCCGCTGTATTGCAACAATACCACGATTTTTCTTAGCTAATTGCAATTTAAGTTCTTTAATATACATTTTTTCTTTGCTAACCGCTAGGGCCTGTTCTTCCGGATTTTGTGCATTAAATGCTTCTAATTCACTAAAAACATTAGTATTTTTAAATTAAGCATGTATAGTAATCATATCAAATTATCAAAAATATCTTACTCTATTTGTTTTTGCAACTCTGCTAAATCGTTTCGACAAAAATCTTTGAAATCAGATTCTTCTTTTTTTAAGTCATCGTGCATTTTAAGCAAATCTTGAACTTTTAATAAAACTCTATAAATAAAATATTTATTTATTATATATGCAATCTTATATAGTATATTTGCCATACGCTGGTTCTGTTTGTGCTTCAATTTTTTTGTAATCTGCCATTTGAGCATTTAATGTGCTTCGCTGTTTTTCTTCTATCTTTAACTGTTCCTCTTGTTTCAGTACTTCAGTCAATAGCTCTTCATTTTCCTTTTGATTTCTTATCAGTTTACGCTCCAATGCAGTTTTCGTTGCTTCCAATATTTTAAATTGTCCTTGTTCTGATAGTTGCTTGGCGTCAGTTTCCATTTCTTCTTTAAAATCTGCATAATGTTTATGCAAAGCTTTTCGCTCGACTGTATCAAGTACTTTTGTCGGTCCAGTAAAATTCTAACAAATTACAAACATTTAAATTTCGTATCTTATTATTATTAGTACTACTTTTAAACGATAAACACAATTCAAATAGTTAACTTAATTTATGTTTTAATAGTCTTTTCAAAATACCTAGTACTTTTTGCCATTTCGCCAGAAACCCAACAATCTGGTGTACTAATTAGTGTTTAACAACAATAATAATAACTTATTTAGATTGCTAAATTTAAATGTTTTGCTGCAATATGCAATAAATAAATTTAAGAAACATTTTATTTTTATTCGAAGATATCAGAAAACACTGCGAACAACGTAAATCTATTGTGCATAGACTTGGTTTTTTACTCTGGATAGTTAGGGTTGTTAAAACTATAAATAAAAAGAGTTGGCTTTAGGATTACTAAAAATCAAAAAGTGGCTATAAATATATAATTTGTTTGTAAACTTATTTTTTTTTATAAATAAAATATCTGTATTAATACTTATAAGCATATTCAATTAAATTACTTCATTCAAATTTGCATAGATCGTTTGAAATATATAGTATAAGCTTCGATTGGTATATAACATTTATCGGTGGTCCAGACATTGTGGTGGTCAATAACAATAAAAATTATCACAAATATTATTAATATTATTTTATATAATAAAATTTTAACATAGTTTTGTATATAATTAAATTATCATTAAAATATTAATATCGGTTTTGCATTTGTGTTAATCGTTTAAGGATAGTACCAATTGTATATGTTATTCAATAAAAATAGAAACAAAAATTTAAACTTAATTATTTTTACCTCTTTTGAGACATACAAATTTTTAAGTAATTGATTAATATCGATCTGCAAATTAAAAACACAATAAAGCATAAACAAACACAAGCAAAAATGTAGAAAAATTAAAAAATTTAAATATAAGTTTCGTTAACAATACAGAAAGCGTTATTAAACATAATGACACAAAATATGTTTTAATACATTACCTCATTATCAGTAATTGCATTAGAATCCGCATTAGGATCAGTATTTTTGGTACTTAAGAGATTGGTTCCATTGCCAGGAAAATTTCTATAACCATATTCCAAAAGTGTCATACGAACGCGTGTTTTTTCATCTTCGCTTGTGACTTCCCTCCGTTGGTACTGACGACTAGGATTATACAGTTCCTGTTTATGTGAATAATAAATTTATATAATAATTTATAAATGAAATTTTCATGTTTATTTTATTCGAAATTTATACCTGTATTCTTTTGATGTGTGCTGACGCAATGTATATTTTAGCTAAATTTTCCCTATCAGTTTTGTATTGATAATCGTTATGAAACTGACCAATAGCAAACTTTTTTAAACGTTGTGAACGTTCAGTACGATTCTCCACCTTAATGTTGAGATATATTATATATAAATTTATATTATTATTTGCAACAAATATTATTGATATTATTGATACATGTTGTATACCATATGTATTATAGAAAACATATATTTGGTATATAAGCTTTACATTACTTACTGATTTTTTAACAAGCCAGTGTATAACTGGATATATGCTAAGAAATTCAAGTCCTTGAATTTGGTGAGGTTCTATTAGAAAAGGGCACTTCATGTCTGGCAGCACGGTAACAATTTTTTCAACAAGCGCACTATATAATATAAAAATTTTTATGTATATAGTTATTTGATATTATTATTAAAACAAACATTTTTTGGCCAATTGTTAAATTTTCATGAAAAAGCAGATCCACGTCAACATCATAATCACAGCATTCTATACACCAGGTCATACCACCCACTATTTTGTCGAATGCTGATAAGCCTTTTATTTTTGCACGATAATAGCCTGCAGCAACTAGCATTTCGAATGTTTCCTCCTCTTTCGCGGCAGCATCCAAATCTTCACGCCTTTCAACCTAATTAAAAAATAATTGATTTTTATAAAATTTGTAGGAGAATCATTTAATTGTCTTACTTGCACTTCCCGGCCTTCTGCATCATAACGAGTTGCCAATTTAACATTAGGCAAATGTTTTGAAAATATATCACGATTTGCCATTAAAAAACTATTTACTTGTGTAATAAAAACTAAATTTATTTAAAAAAATCAAAACATAAATTATAAATCAAATTTCCACGCCATCGACGAAAGGAAAACTTCACTTCGTTTTGCAACACTAACATCTGATTATTGTTGTCAAAAATGTAAACAAAGCGAACATCAAATTTCGCCAATCAGCTGAAGTGAAAATCAAAATAACAGCATATGTCAAAAATTTTGAAACAAGTTGAAAAAAAATAATATGTTTGTGTTATTTTATATAAGTATGAATTCTTTGTAGTTCATTTTTTTTATTTAATCATATACATTCATATTATATAAGACTTTTTTATATATTATTAACTTATCAATTCAAAATAAATATAATAATAAAATATATATATAAACATATTCTGCACATATATAAATAATTTTTATCAATAAAGCATCGATTCTTTCTTATGACATGCAATGCACAAAAATACGTTTACTTGGTATGGTTGCTTCTAAAAAATCGATGTATTTATTTTCATTTGGAACGTATTTGAAACTTGTTGAAGTTCATTTGTACAAAATCAGCAAATGGAACTCCTTTGCGTATATTTGATTCTGTATACAGAAATCAGTCATTTGCTACTCATTTGCGATTTTTGACCCGAATCAGTCATTTGAGACCAGTGTAAATGCCATATAATTCATCATCATATATTTTGTTAATTTTCATCAGCATTCCCTTAAATAAAAGCAGTTGTATAATCAAGCTCTCTTGACACAATTATTCGATAATATTTATATTGATTTTGGAGTTAATTGCGAAAATGTATTAAATACGATCATGTAAACGTACGTAAACGCACGTATAACAAAATTGTGTTTACTTATTTTCAAACAAAATAAAGCTAAGCTCTTAGATTGTCTGACAACAGTTGGACAATTGTATAGGTATGTATTTAATGAAGCAAAATAATTTTAAAAATGTTGCATCAGATAACTTGCTACATCTAAGAATTTATCATCAATCCAAATTGTTTCCGTAAGAACACTCCTTATGTAAACTTGTTATTGAAAATTGTATGACAAAAGAAGGAACAGATAAATAAACAAAATACAAATCCAAATACAACACTGCTCATTTGACAGTTCAGTAAACAGTTTGATACATGCAAAAGAGTTTGTGAGTCAAATATTTATAGGTTAAAGCGTGTCGGTGTTTTGTATCTGAAAAATTAACTTAAAATGCCGTATTTATGTTTGATTCAAGAAGAAATTGAAGATTACGTCGAATGCCTTAAAAATTCTCAAGATGATCTTTATACAGTGGTTGCGGTACCAATTGACAATAAGAATAATAAAAGTGTGGAAGGTGTAGAGGAAGATTTATATCCCGATACAATTCTTCCTTCTGAGAAATGGAACAATAAAATTATTCTTATGCTTTCTGATGATATAAATTGCGATTCCGAAGATATACAAGAACGCAAAATGTCTGAAGAAACTTTAGAGCGGGAAATATCTTGGGCAGCGCATTTACAATTTGCTGGATACGTAATGGTGCGCCTCAAAAATAAAAACAACACTAATTTAGCTCGTTTGCTCTCTAAATCCATTAAAGGTTAAATTTAGATATATAATATCATTAATAGATATATAAGCTATAAACTATTTATAGGTAACGTGATTGTTCGTGTTTTACTCAATGCACCAAAATCTGAACAAGATGGTTTTACTGGTAAGGCTTGTGAAAATGAGAATGAAGATATTCGATCTGAGTTTGATCCTTGGCATTGGTGGAAGAAATTTCATGCTCTCACCAATTACAGTCCTAAAGTCAAAGTAGTAGTTGAAGTTCATCCAAATGAAGTACCTTCAAAGCAGGAAGTACTTCGCTGGCTAGGCGAGCCTCTGGAGGGAGTAATTGTGCCATCTCAGATGTTTATCAAAAATGCAAATGATTATCCTGTATTGCCAAAGATTTGGCAAAGTGTTTTAATAGATTTTGTACAAATGCACAAAAATTTTTTCGTAACAACCACCAAATCCGATTGTGCTAAAAAGTTGTATGCAGAGTACTTAAAAAACTTCATAGAAAAACATGAAGTGATAACTAATTTAGATGGGTAAAAAATATTTGTTTTCTATTTGCTGTCATAAACTTCTATATAATTTAATTTAAGGTTTGAAGATTTACTTGAAATTCCCCTTCAGCCATTGCATGATAACTTGGATTACTATACCTATGAAATCTTTGAAAAGGATCCGACTAAATATGAAGTTTATAAAAAAGCTATTATTGCAGCTCTCAAAGATCGTGTACCTGAAGCAGAGATTGAAACAAAATTGGTAAATTTAGTTACCTTCAATAATTTTAAAAATAAATTTTAATGACTATATATATTCTTTAAATTTTAGACAATTATAATGGTTTTGGGAGCAGGTCGCGGACCTCTCGTACGTGCTGCACTTGAGGCTGCAGATGATACTAAGAGAAAAGTGCGCATATATGTTATTGAAAAAAATCCAAATGCTATACGTACTCTAAATGCATTTGCTAAAAATTCGTGGGCTGGAAAAGGTTTGTTTTCAAAGTAGTATTTTTTATACGGATTTGTTCAAAATTTTTTTTATATTTTAGATGTACATATATTTTCAAAAGATATGCGTCTTTTTGCGCCTCCTGAGAAGGCTGACATAATTGTATCCGAACTCCTGGGTTCGTTTGGTGATAATGAACTCTCTCCCGAATGTTTGGACTGCGCTTTGAAGCTTTTGAAGGAGGATGGTATTAGTATACCATGTAAATCAATATCATTCATAAATCCAATCATGTCCGCTAAATTATATGCAAATTTATGTCATTTACATTTTCGTGCCGAAACAATGAGTAAAGAAAAAAATGCCAATCACGACGAAAGCACATTTGTTGTACATTTAAAATCAGTTTATAACATCGCAAACCCTCAAGCACTATTTGAATTTTGGCATCCAAATAAAGAAGAACCAATCGACAATACTCGCTACAAGACACTGCAATTTAAAGTGGAACTAGATTGTGTTTTAAATGGTATAGCAGGTTATTTTACAGCTGTTCTGTATAAAGATATTATAATAAGTATAAATCCAATGACGTACACTCCTTATCTGACTTCATGGTTTCCAATATTTTTCCCAATAAATGTAAGCTACATAATTTTATTTGTTTACACCAAAACTAAAACATTTATTCGCTCTTTCAGAAACCGATGAACTTAAAAAAAGGTGACATTGTTGAAATCAACTTTTGGCGTTGCATATCAAAACAAAAAGTTTGGTATGAATGGTGCATTAGCGGGCCTTATGTTACAGGTGTTCATAATCAAAATGGCATCTCATCGCCTATATATTTATAAAAATATACTATTTTATAGTAAAGAACTTAAATTGTAAGATTTTGTACATTGCCAAATAGTTTTATTTATAATAACAAATCTCAAGGACAAAATACTATTTCAATCTAAATTTAAGTTCTTCATTTATATAAATTTAAACACTAATTAAAACCCTTATGGAACAATATTTAAAATAATTATTTTTATGAAACCAATTTATGTATTAAAAACTAATACAACGTAATAGACTTACTGAAATGCAATATATTATATTGATCATTTGTATAAAAAAATATTCAGAAATAAAAATATAATAAATAATATGTAATTTACGCTTATATGTATTTTTTCTTTCTTATCGCCTTTTTATATTAATGAGCTCTACTTGGTATGTCTTTTTGGAGGAAGTATATGGTGTCGTTTTTTTTCTGGAGTTGAGGACAGGATCAAACTAAGGCTTTCAGTCAGTTGACGATTGCGTACGAATTTTATCGGTTACAAGCTTCCTCAGTTGCATTGCTGTGACCGTTTAGTTAATTATCTACAAAATATTACTCTTAATCTATGTGAATATGTAATAATTCTTTGGCATTAATTGTTGAAATATTATTTGATTTGTTTATTAAATAAAATTAATTTTTTATTATCAGAACTTTAGAAATACTACAATTTTTTAAGTGGCGCTTAGAACATTGCTTATTACATTTGAATATAATATATTTGAAGGCAATTTTATGTAGCGTGTGACTATGAAAAATGTTAAAGCTAAAAGCAATATTTTTTGATGGATTTTTTTGAAACATAGGATATTTAATTCTACTAAATATTTAAGATTTATAAATATTTTCAGTTTTTATACTTCAAAATATTTTGACTTTATATATTCAATGATTTAACCACCATTATAAATAGTTTCATTATTCATAATATATTGAAAATATTTTTTTATATATACGATGTATTTTAAAATTATATTTATTTAAATTATATTTTTCAAAAAGCAAAGGCAATTTTGTAAGCATAAATCGTCAAATTAATTTCATTCATCTTAATGAAATTATGTTTTAATTACATATGTGTTTTACAAAAATATAATGATAATGTAACAATTAGTGTCAGTCCTCATAAAAATTATTTCATAATTGAAATAATTGTTGTGGCTATGCTAATAATTATGACAATTTACTCTTTAATTCATTTTTTCAACTCATTTTCAATATTTCTTCTGCTTTTAATAATTAAGATATAATGGACATTGTAAATGGTAGTTGGCTAACATACCGGGCAATACATAACTGAATATAAGTAACAAATCATAGCTTCTTTTTAAAATCTCTTTAATCTCTTTTCAATTCAAATATTGTTTTACATTGTTCGTAATTGAGAAATAGGTAATGGCAAACATGATGTTCACGCCTTTCGTATTAATTAAATATATTATATATTTGTATAAATACTTCTAAATAATTAATTTCATCTCTTTATAATAGCCAATTTATTATTTTTCATTATTATTGTATGAACAAAACAATTTTTTAAAATATAATTAAAATAAATAATATAAAAATATAAATTTACTCATTTTCGATTACTGGACAAAAATTTAACTTAATAAAACTTTTAAGAAATTAAACTAAAAAATAAATACAGTGCTAATCAATTTTATACCTTAACTCATACATTGATATTTAATTCAACATGCGTGCAAATTTACTTAAAATGTTTCTTATTTTCCGATTCGTTAAAAGAAGACAAATTAAAAATGGAAACATAAATTTTAAAGATAACACATTAAAATAAAATAACTTATGGTTATATTTATGAACTAACAGCATTTGCTTGCGGCATTTGTCCGGCCAAAGCATTGGCGCCACCACCTCGTATTGCGATTGCTCCTTGACCAGCGCGAATTGGCTTAGCAATTTGTGCCTGTGGGCCACGTCGTCCAAGATGTTTTTGTCGGACTGCTTCTTTAATGCGATCCACTTCATATTGATAACGTTTACGATCACGCATTGCACCTTCTTTGGCTTCTTTTAGCGCAGTTTCTAAAGCTTTAACACGTTCCATTGTAGTACGCAGACGTTTCTCCAATTTCGGTAATTCACAACGTAGGTCTGCATTATCACGCACCAACTGCTTGTGCACCTTTGTTAATTGTTCGAGATTGTTTTCGAGGAAAGATATTTTTTGCTTCTGAGCTAAGGAACCTCCATCCTCTTCATTATCTTCACTATTGACTGTTTTCTTAATTCGCGCCTATAAAAAAAATTAAATTTTCTCTTTAGTAGAACTTATAATAAATTCATTTTCACATTATACTCACTTGTAAGTCTTGTACGAAAAGTTTTCTTAAATTATGCAGGGTTTGCAATTCCTTTGCTACCGTATCCTCTAAACCCTTCAAGTCCTTGCGTGCCTGTTCGCGTCTTTCATTAGTAAGAATAATATCTTGTAGTTTGTTAGATTTTTCTGCTTCGTCTTGTTTAAGTTTCTCATAATCGGCAGCCATTTGTTGATGGGCCAGTATTAATTTCTGATATATATCTTTCATTTCGTTCATTTCATGTTGCTTAGATAGAATTTCATCGCGCAACTCAGACAATTGTTTAGTGTGTGCTTCTCGTAGTTCATCCATTTGTGAATCGAACATTGAACGCAACTCCTCTGCTTTTTGTTTCTCTTCAGCATTTACAGCAGATACATGTTCGGCAGCCTTTAATTTTGCACACTCTTCACGTAATGAATCGATTTGTTCTTCTAATGCACGTTTCTTATTTTCCGCTTCCCTCATAGATTCTTGTAAAGATTTCATACGAGCTTCGTGCTGCGAAATTAACAAACGGAATTCTCCAAGGTCTTTCTCGTATTCAGTTAATTTTTTGTTTGAATCAATCTGTTGAGTTTCTAAATTACTGCAACGTTGCGACATATTTTTCGCTTCTGTTTTCATTTTGCTTATATACAGCCTAGCCATTGTAAAATCTTCTTCAATTTTTGTTGCATCTCCAGCTGTAACAGTATTCATTTTCATATCGATGCCAGAATCATTCGTTGATAGTGCTTGTCCAACTTCACTAAGATCACGCAAAAGATTCCCGAGCATTTCGTTAATACGCTTTTTCTGGTGCGATGACATATCTTTCAATTGTTGCAGTTCGGATGTAGTTGTATTCAATATTGTTTGTTTTTGCTGTACTTCTTCATTAAGAGAATCTATATCCTTATTCTTAGTATCGATCTCTTGAGACTTTTGGTCATAATTAACAGCCAATTCCTCAAGTGCTTGTAAGACTTCTTTCACCTCTTCCTTTGCTGATTCATTTTCTTGTTGTATTCGCGCCATTTCTGATTGTAAAGCTTCATATTCACGGCGGGCATTTGCTATTAATTCTTCTTGCTCTAAGATTTGATCTTTAAGATTTTCAACGTACTGACTTTGTTGATTGATTTCTTCATCTTTTTCATCCAACTGCTGATAAAGACGCTCACGTTCAGCTTCTAGACGTGCCCGCTCTTCCGTACTTATTGAGCCTACCATTAAACCAGCAGCTGGTGTAGCAGGTACTGGTCCAGCTCCCTTTGTAGTCTCCACTTCTAAATTAGGAGTACTTGCCTCCATGAGATCATCCATATTTATCTGTTCTTCAGCATTGACTGTTTCACCAGCACGCCAGCGCGCCAACTCCAATTCAAGTTTTTCCACTTTGCCTTTAAGACGAGCATTTTTCTCTTTCTCCTTTTCATAACGACGTTTCCATTCTTCTGCTGTAAGTTCTTCATTAACGCAAACAACATTTTTAACGGTTTTAGCACGTCGTCCGAAATCTAATGTGGATTTCGTTTCCGCTTCGTTAAAGCTAGCGGGTGAACAACAAATAACAATTGTTGTACGCGCATTACCACCCAATGATTCCTGTAAAATACGTGTTAATTTTGAATCACGATAGGGTATGTGCGTTTTATTGCCATCAGCAAGTGCGGAAATGACATTTCCCAAAGCAGATAATGATTTGTTAATATTTTTAGCTTCATCCAAAACAGTACCTTCTGCACCAGTTTTTGAAACTTTTTCCGAACCGGCCAAATCGACAAGATATAGCTTACCAGAGAGTTTTTTTTGATTTTCTAAATTTTCTTGTTTCACGTTTATGAGAAATACTGAATGTGATCGTGACGAATGCTCGTTCATGTCTAGAAAATGAAAAAATATATTTTAAATTTTTTATTTCCATAACAATATGTATGTGTATACTTACTTGTTACAGCAATATGTCGATTAGATTTACCCTCTTCGATTACTTCGAAAACATCTTCAGGTGAAGACACGAAACGTTCTGTTGCACCTTTAACAAAAGGTACACGATTCTTGTCCTCATGCACGCTTAAATTTACTTTTGATACATCCAGTAAATCCCGAATCTTATCCATATAAATTTCATAATATGAAACTTTTATATGAAATTCTAAATTCACTTCCATAGTGTATATGTGATTGAATATATCATTGACGATCCGTGGTATGATGCCCTGTTTCACGGGATCACCTATAACGCCTTCCATTGTATGCGTTTTGCCTGATGAAGTCTGTCCATAAGCAAAAATTGTACCATTGTAGCCGGCAAGCACATCAGTGACAATTGATTTGGCGGCTTCATTATAAACTTTTTCTTGAGATGCATTCGGTTTGAATACTTTATCAAATAAGTACACTTTCCCCTATATTAAAAAAAATTAAAATACACAAATTAATAATTAAAGTTAAAAAATATATGTTAATCTATAAACAGGGTGTTTTTTCCTAACACATATTCTAGCGGTGATTCTTAAAAGAAACCACACAATATCTCAAAAACAGTTCGTCATCCAAATATGTTAAGGCGTATATTAATTTTTAGTTTCTTAAATATTCATCAATTTTAAGGTTTTTTATGGATATATTAGATATAGATAGTAGAATATTAGATATTCATTATAAAAATATTAAGGCAACTCTTAATTTTAGTTATAAATATTAAATTAGTATTATTATTCAGTAAATCGTTAATTAGCTAAGACAGTACATCTAAGTCTGTACACATCTAATTTCTTAAGCGGACCTTAATTTTTAAAAATCTTTATGTAACAGATTTGGTTTGGTTTAGATGATATGAGTATATTATTATCTCGGCTGATTTGCCTATACCAAAGTAACTTTATAACATAAAAAAATGAATTTATTTCTAATCAACAGCTATTGTTTCAAAAATTTGTTAACTATTGTACAATTGTGCTTCTTAATTAACAAAAAGAATTTCATGAAAAAATTTAAGTAACATTAAGCAAATTTTCCTTAGGCAATGACCTTAAACTCTGCTGCTCTGCTATTGAGAAATATGTACATCGTTAACAGGAAGCAAAAAACCAAATAAAGAAAGTACACTGCAGTAATCCTTTCTCTTGTTTTGCAGTCAAGGTTGTGGGAGGTAGAGTTAAATGTCCACTCATTTTTGCTTAACTTCTCTGTTTATTATTAAATAAAGCTAGGACCTTTAAGTAGTTTTAAATTAACTTGAATTAAATGATATTATAAGCTTTATCAATACCATGTTTAAGTAGACAAAATTTTACTTGATATTTGGGTCACACATGAATTAACGCATAGAATTTTAACTGACAAAAATATCATCTATGAAATGTTGCTGATACGTAACAAAATCGAAACATTTTTGAAACGAATCATTATTGATAAAATGAACATGATGGCAAATGGATTAAATGCGATAATATCTAACGCAAGCGATCATGGGTAAAAGTCAGTGACCCTCCACAAATGACATCGAAGCCTGGATTGACTGCAAACGAGGACATGTTGAATGTTTGGTGGGATTGAAAGTCTATTACAAGCTACTCCTGAATTGTCTTTTACAAGCTGCTCCAATTTTGGAGCACCGGTGAATTCGGTCTTCTACCACTAACAACCTGACTGCTGGAACGAAACAATATAACAATTAACGAAACAAAACGACCAGAATTGGTAGTTGTATCCATGTCCTGCCACTCACTTTTTTAATAACTCTGAACAAATTTATAGACTTGGTTAGAAAGTTTAGATGCATATACCGTGTAGCCCGGACTTTGCATCAACTGATTATTATTTGTTTCAATCCTTGCAAAACTCTCTTGATTATAAAAAATTGGCCGACAAAACATCTGCTAAACATCGGTTGTTCAAGTTTACTTCGATGAACCACAGAAGTTCTACACCAATGGCGTCTTGAAGCTACCCGAAAAATGACAAAATATCATAAATAATAATATCCTATATAAACTTTCTTAAAATTAATTTCCATTAAATATAATTTTTGTTTAACAATGTACAAAAAAACAATGTTTCATTCTTTCAGAATGTCGGTATTTAACAAGGTATTTATGTCCACAAAAATCTCCATTTTATTCTCAAAATCCATTTCTCTTTAAAAGTAAAAGACCTTTCCAAGCTTTGTTCAATTACATTTTTACTCGTATATTTATATAAATGTAAAAAATGTTTCTTTTATATATTAAAGTCACGTTAATATATATATTACATATATATATTAGAGTCACTTTGTATATTATTTGTTTACACAATAAGAAATATTTTAAAATTTCAAATTAATAATTTATTGTTTTAAGGATCAACATTTTTAATTAATAATTTTGTTTCTGAAATAGACTAACTGATCAATAGTTAAATAATACACCTTTTTAAAAATATTCAGTTTTTAAAAAATTTTTTATTTAAATCAATATTTCGATTATATTCTATAGTCATCTTCAGAGTACTATACCTAATGCTGTTATAATATAGCAATAATTGAATATAAATTATAAAGAAATAATCATATAGTGAAATACGTTAATATTAAAACACAAAATACATATATAGATGAGTTCAAAAATAAGGGGAAAATAATTATACAATACGTTAATAATAAAATAAAAAATACATACATATATAGAGAAATTATATATTCTGTTTCAAAAACAAAATTATTATTAAAATTTCAAATTCAAATAAGAAAAATTTTAGCTAATAAAATTTTATTTTAATTATTTTAATTTTTGACTGATCAAAAAAGCTGTTACGAATTTTGCCGAAAATTCATCATCACTCATTCACCATAAAGGTTTGGTAATTAGTATATAATTTTTTGGACAGTTAGTGTCAAATATTTCCAAACCAACGATGGTGTATATTTGGAAATGTTCGAAACAGTTGTATGGTCAGTCAAAAATTTCATCAATTAAAATAAAATTATTTGTAGTTAAAATTTTTCTTCATCTAAAGTTATCTAAAACAGACTTATACTCGGTACATGCATACATGATCTACAACAAATCATCAATGTTTAAAAATAAAAACGTGGTCTCATACATAATCTGTATTTCATATTTCGTAGACAAATAACAAATTGTCTATGGTCTACAATCTACTTTTGCTCTAGTTTAATTAAGCACATTGTTATTTATGCACTTGAAACAATCAGTCATGTATTCGCTCATTTCTAGTAGTGTCCGTCCATTCTCTCTTGCTAATAACCAGAAAGTTTTTGCTTTCTGGAACTTAAGTAAAAAAAAACAGCAAATGATTAACACGTAAGCGAAGCGCTCGCTATTCACAATTTGGTAATCATATTTTATTATTATCCATAATTATTTAGTCATTTCGATAATGAATCTACAAAATCATGTTTGTATGTGTTCATAGTTTTATCAAGCATTTCTACACAATATTAGATACTTTTCTTTTACTCTTACTAGTTCTTTGTCTATTTCGTCAAAGTTCTAGAGTAGGAGGTTGCATGGTACAAAAACATTTGTAATCCAGATTTTTTTCATATTTGCTGTGTACACCATGTAGGTTGTTGCCAAGGTAATTATTATAATTTGTTTTTATATAAAAATATAAATCTAAAATATTTAAATATTTATTTTTTGTATCGCTAAATTCATTCCCTTTCTAATACTTATATTAATATTTATTTTTATTTGAAGAAAACTGTATAAGAAAATATAAAATGATAATTAGGTTTTTCGAAAGTAGTATATAATATTTTCTCCTTTCAATCGAATTCAATTTTGGGACAATCATTAGTTATTGTCATTAAATTATCGGTATTGCTTTGAATTTTAGTATCTATTAAAGAGAGTGGGTAACATCAAGAACTACTAATAGCTATTTTATTTAATATTGATATATTTTTTTTTATTTGCCTTATTTATAAAAACATCGATCGGGTGTTATTCATCATCTATAGCTTTCTTGTATAGTATGTAGAACGAATTGTTGAGACATATAAATAATCATCTGTTTCAGCAATCTTTCTCTTCATTTGATACAAATTTCATTCCTGAAGCTACCATTTGAGTAGTCCTGCAGGGAGTATTATGTCAATATAGAGATAGAAAAAAAATTTTTGGACAGTCAAGAAAAAAACACTGTCAAGAGGCAAGATGTATCCCTTATAGAAACATATACTGTTTATGGGCGGCTAGCTTTGGAGAATATACTGAATGAAACAACAAAAACACCGCTCACAATTTCCATCGTAGTTTCAAGGTGTGTGTGAATTATTTCAATAATAACTTGATATACTATTTACTGTGTTCAGGTGACATTAAGACTAAAAGAAGATTGCCGTAGATATTATAAAACCGAAATGGCATAAATGCCTTTTTGGTAGACTATTACAATTCTGAATGGCAGGTTTGACTTGTCCCGATTGCTACTCATTTAGCTGGCTAAAGATTTGTTCTCAAACTGCCTAGATTCACAACTTTGTCATAGCTGTACAATGTTTTTTTTAGCATGTTTACTATATCAACTTAGAAATGTAATGTCAATTTAAGATAATTCAAAAAAATTTAAGTAGATTTTGTCCGTATCACCGTATACATATACTATAACTTAGCATACATATAAAGGATAATTGATTTTATTATGGCAATGACCCTATAAAACTAGTCATATTTTTAAATATATATAGCGTTTTTTGTCAATAAGAATTTTTCAAGTAGTGTACCAAATTCTATTTTATCTGTTATTATAATTTGTATTTGTAACTTTCCAATTAAGACGTTTCGCAGATGTTAAACTTTCGGACAATTTTATGAATGTTGTTATTTTGAAACAGAGATTTGGACAATTTTTTAAAGACATGTATTGAATTTAAGTAACTAATAAATTTATAATACTAGAGATTCGTTTGAAATATTTTAATAACCTAAACTTAAATATATTTAAAACTAAAACGATCGAGTCTCTACCGACGACCAAGTGCTGTTCAACATCTCCCAAAGGGTCTACACAAGCAAATCCCACCGGGTTACAACAACAACAATATATTTAAAACTATATTTAATTTCAAAACTAACATTTGCTTCTCTTTGATATAATATTATATAGGAAATATATTTATTTTTTTTATTACTAAAGCGACTTAATTCTAAACATTCATGCAATTATCTCACAAATAGTGCACAGTATGTTTACACTATCCCATTTACTTGATAAGCGAAAATCTCAAGAGAAATGTAATGTAATGTGAGTACAATTACAGGAATTTATTTATAACAGTTCACTAAAAAACCCTAGGAGTGTTACTGCAGATACAAAGCTTCCATTGAAAATGTACCCAAAAGTTAACGAATGAGAAGATCACAAATACATGCAAAACAATATATGTAAAATATAGTATTAAAAACAGCTGTTACCCCAAATATACTGGACAAGTTATATTATACATTATATAAAACATAATAGAAAACAACCAAAAAAAGAAGTTATGCTTACTAGTTTGAGAGCATTTTTTTTATAATAGTAATAAATTTTAAATACAAGATTTTAATTTTTTCACATAAACTTCATTTGTGTTCAACAGAAAGTTGTACACAATATTTTGCAAACATTTACCAACACTTAGCAAAATAACCAATAGAAGTAAACGCAATTCAATCATCAAGTAAATGTATGAGTCATTGCGAAAGTGTATGCTCTCGTTGCTGCCGTAACAATTATCCATCCCATCTCTGGTTTGTGTTATTTCCAGAGAGATTTTATGTTTGATTATTTAGTATTTCCACTAAACATTGTACTGTTTTGAAATAATTTATTTGTTTGAAAACATTTATCGTACAATCACTCATGCACGTACATATGTTAATCCATATGAAGCAATAACTTAAACAATAACTTTATTAGCTTATAATACTTTCTAATTAATTTATAAGTATTTTCATAAAAACTTATGCTAAGTCAACTAAAAATCCATTTTTCACAATTACAACCTAATGTATGTAAAACGAATGAATTTGGTATATGACGTCATTCTAACCTACGTTCACAAGTATTACATATAACATTTTTCTTAATTATAGTTCAAAATTATATATTTACCGCAATTGAAATGCAATTTTCCTCATTGTTATTAGGAAATTTAACAACAAACTTAGAACCGGCCTTCTCCTCACTGTCATTTAGAGGCCGGAAACGACATACTACTTTAATGCTATCCTCAGCAGGTATTTCTCTTTCAGCTGACATTATGTATTGAATTTGTTACGTATGAATTTAAGTTTAAAATCACAATTATAGCACCGACTTCACAATAATTTATACAGATGCAATTTTTTTTATATTGGATTCCCTCATATATTTAGTTTTATATCTAAGTTCACTTATTTAAATTTTTTCTTATTGCCATATGCAGAAAACTCAAAATATATATATGAAAAGCAACAACAAAAACCAAATGACGAAGCCCTCGCATTCGATAATACGTTTGGAAGCTTCGCAAAATGTGGAGTCAAAGTGAATTGCGAAATTATGAAGGAGAAGAGACTCCCTTAGACAAATTATTTCATTCGTCAACTGCTCACTACTTTCATCAAATGAAAAATAAGGCATGTAAAATTGAAAAGAGCCAATAGAAACTTTGTTTATTATTATTAAACCGAAAGTAACGTTAATCTATATTACACGAATGTTATTTATTTATTTATTTTTCTTAGAATTATGGTAATCTTATTTGAAGTTATAAAAATCGAATTATTTCTACTTTGTTCCGAGCACTAGCACACGAAACAACGGATTACATATACACACCTATCAATTGTGCAGTGTTGGAAAAGTATTTGTGAATAAAAATTCCAATTAGAATTAACGATAAAACATAATATTCCAGCAGTGCAGAAAAAAACCTATGTGAAGTTAACAATTAATTAAATAGTATTAATATTTTAAATATATTGCCAATGGAAAATATATTAAAAATTATTACATCAGTCTATGCTACATCTATACATAAATTTTTAATGTCCACATTTCGTCATTTATTTGTATTAAAAATAAATACTCAAAATATTATATACTAGTACATACATATATAATGAACTACAAATTAATACATGTAACATTTAATATACTTTTAAATTTTTGTATACATCTTTAATATATAAAATTACTAAGTAATATCATACCACTAATAATAATATAAAAACATATCATATTTATATATTGTTATTTTTTATATATGTATGTACATAACTTATATAAAAATATAATTTCTCTAGCTAGAACATATAGTGAGCAGAGGAAAGTATTTACAAAGGAATTGCTTGCATATCCACACAAATATAATAGTTTTCGTACAGTTTACTGCATATAATAGATTAAAGTTGTACTCAATGCTTTAAAGCTGTTAAAAACGTAATGAAACTAATACATTTATAATATTTTCCTTCTATCATATCTTGACGGGCATTTTATTTTTAATGCTGGAGCGGAACAGTCAAAGTGAAAACTTCGTATGTATATTATGAACCAGATTTCCCATACAAAAGTTAATCTCGTTTTGATCGAGATTAATTTTAAATCTTAGATATGGTGATAATTTTCTGTGCAACTCTGCAAATGTCTTAACATCGTAGATTTTTTTTACGATCTTAGAAGAATTGGAAAAGAAATTTCAAAATCTGTTCAAAACAAACGAACATTTGAAAATGCTGAATAGAGTGACATTTTTAATACATATGTTTAATAATAGTATTACTAAAATTATTATTACTAATTATTACTAAAATTTGTTGAATTTTATAAATGTTTTTTAGAGAAATTTATCAAACACACAAAACAAAACATAAAAACAAACGATCAAATTTATCACCAATGTATAATGTAAACCGTGTAGATTAAAAATGTAGATTAACTTATTCTGGTCCTGTTAATCTCATAATGTAAACTTGGCATAATCCATATTATAACATTATATGCAATAACGTAAAAAGTATCGACTTACATAAATAAACGATAGACTTCAATTAAAGCGACTCTGTTTTCAAAAGGTATGTTCAGTTGCATTTAATGCTCCCGTTAATTAAGCGGTAGTATTTTGTAGTAGTTGTCATAATTGTTGTCCGCGAAGGCTGTGATACGCCGCATGTTAATATATTAAGAAAATTATTTAGTTTAAAACGAAAATATGAGCTTCTTAAATCCAACAACAACGGCAAGTACAGGCTTTTCATTTGGATTAAATCCAACTGTTGCAGGGAATGCGGCTACGCCGCCAAAAACTGGCTTTTCATTTAGCAATCTCGGCGGTGGAGATGCTGCAGCTATTAAACCACTAGCTTTTGGCGTTCCTAGCACAACGTCATTAACAACTGCAACTACAGCGCCCACACGTATGTACAATAAATGGATATTGTAGAAAAGCGTTTATTTTTCTGTTTTATATTTACAGTTTCAATTGCTACTACAGTAACGCCAGCTACTCAACCAATGCTAAGTTTACAAAAACCAGCAGATGCAACACCTGCGCAAAATACGGTTGTCAGTGCGGCTCCAGCTGGTAACTTATTTATAAATTTTTGATACATATTAAATTAATTAAATATAAAAACATATTTCTACAGTAACTACAACAGGCACTGGATTTGCAAATCTTTCCACAGCAACAAAAACTACTGATTCTTCATCTATCACCGCGAATTCCTTAACATACAATCAATTAGAAGAGTATATAAATAAATGGACTTTAGAATTAGAAGATCAAGAAAAAGTTTTTATGGATCAGGCTACGCAAATAAATGCTTGGGATAAAATCCTTATTAGTAACAATCAAAAAATTGTGGATTTAAATGATGCTGTCCAGAAGGTCAAACAAGACCAAGCTACACTGGAACAAGAACTTGAATTTATTTCAACACAACATAAGGAGCTAGAAGAAAGTATTGTACCCCTCCAGAAGGAATTTATGAAAATACCACAAGTTGACGTGGAACGCAGTCAAACATATTTATTAGTCGAAAACTTAGACACGCAATTAAAACAAATGTCCGAAGACTTAAAGGAAATTGTCGATAATTTAAATGAAACAAATAAGGGAATGGACAACACAGATCCATTAACTCAAATAGGAAAGATCTTGAATGCACATATGACATCATTACAATGGATTGAAACTTCTACTGAAAACTTGGGGAAAGAGTTGGATGGGATCAGTAAGATGCATGAAACTGTAAAGCGCGACTCAGAGCGGTCTTTTCGTTCAGCTTATCATAATAAATAATCATTGTACACAATTTACATAAACAAGTTATTAAAACTATTTTGTATAAATTTTAATTTCGCATGTTTTAGTGTATAAAGTATATTTATCACCAATTTAGGTCAAAAAATGAAACTTAATATCTTAATAACTCTTGAAATATTTAAATCGTATTAGTGGTACTTTTTTATCCCAGCATCCTAGAGCCAAATAACCGCTTGATGGTGAGAACTCTATTGTACGCACCGCTCCTATGCGACGACTTGGATCAGGGAAGTTAGAATATACTGTCCCACTTGGAAAATGGCATAATTTTACTGCTGCAGGCACCAATCCGGAGCACATAGCCAACAACTCTGAAGTGTGGTTAAATTTAATATCAGATATATTAGTGGTTAAATTGAATAGTCTTTTTAAGGGTGTGGGGGCACTTGTAGCATGCACTGTATCGAAATTATATACGTTGACAACACCCTCCTGACTTGCTGTTGCAAGTAAGCGTTGGTCAGGCGATAAATCCATTACAGATCCTCTAATGCAACCATCATCCACAAATACATGCTCAGTACGCTGTTGCCGCAATGAAAATACACTTATATTAGATGATATTGAATTACAAACGATACGGCTAGAGTCAGCTGTAAACCGCAAATCAGAAGCTGTATGTTCTTGTTTAAATGAGTGAATTAGTTCATTCGATTCAAGTTCGAATAGATGTACTGCACCCATAAAACCAATAACAGCCAAATATCTCCCGCATGGAGAAATTCTAAATTTTTTTATTTTGTGTACTCCCTGCGGCATAAAACGGCGACTTTCTTGGGCTGTTAATAAATCGTATGAATAATAAAAATGTTTATTTGAAGTGAACAATGCCTGCAATCAAAAATATGTCATCTAACTTCAATTCTAAAACAAAATTTATGATACACACCTTAGTGCCACAAGGCTTTATTTGAGCACGTTTTATTGGGTATTTATCAAAAAATATGCTATGCAGCTTTTCGTTTTCAATGCCGTCTACGGCATATATGGTGGAGGAACCATTATAGCCAGCAACTAAAGCTGCTCTGCTTGTGGGATGAAATTGTATACTGGATATTATACCTTCAACGGTATTTGCACGATTCAAATTTTTTAAATATTTACAGCCAATATAATCAGGATTTAATGATCCCCTAGATCTAGTTTTCGTATGTCCAACGGTTCTTAGCATTTCGTCATCATCTGAATCAGCGTCTTCTGTTTTACGATCCAATGAAGCCCATTTTGGTTGTGACACTATACGAGTAAAGCGATTTGTTAAAAATTCCTTGTAAGGTTTATCCTTTCGCAAGTGATCCATAGGTGCCTTGTAATTTTTTAGACGCTTAACATTGCCGAGTTGTATTTTCTCATCGTCAGGATCAACCCAAACGGGTTTGCGCTTGCTTTTTTTCTTATTTTTGCTATCAATTTGTTCTTCCCCATCGAATAAATCCTCTACATTATCTTGGCTAGGTTTCGTTGAGTTGTCATCAACCGCTGCAGCTAAATTTCGTAACAATTCCTCTTTATCACCAAATATGAATTTGTCCATTGAGACAGCATCCTTTGATATATTTTGTTTTTTTTGATCATGTTCTTCATTTTCCTTTTTCGTACTTCTTGATATATATTTCAGATCTTCCATGCCATCACTAAGTTCAGAGTCGCTCATTTTAATAATTAAATATAGTCGCTCCGTTTACAATATTTGCGATTTTATTCTGAAATGTTGTTTACTTCAATAGTAACTTGCTTACACGTGTTGGTTTTGTGTGAACTTAGCTGCGTTTAAGAAAATCAGCTGTTCGGTTATTGTTTTACAGAAGTGGCTAAAATTATTGAAGTAGTGCGTAAGTATTATTTTAAATTAATATAGTTTTTAGTAACATTAGGCGTGTTTAGGCTAATCATTATATTCTGTTGATGATAAGACACTTCATAACTAGTCTGTTAAAGCAAAAGAAGTGTTGTTGTTTTGTTATATATCGTATTTTTGAGTTGTTTTGCGTTATGTATACTATACAATATAACTAATTCGTGTTATACTAGATTCACATGAGTTGAGTTTGTTATTTTAGCTGTCAAAAATTTATGTTTTGCTTTGAAAACAACAATAATTTATGTCTAAAATTACAAACATGACAACAATTTAAATTTTTTACGTTTTATATGTCTTAAGTAATTCATACCTTTATTAAGTTATTGCTCTACTTCTGGAAAATTATTTATTTCACAAAAATGCAGTTCAAATATTCTGCTTTTATATACTTTTGTAACGCAAATAAATTTAACCATTAGTTGCTGTAAATTATTATTTTCGAACATGACTATTTTCTTTAAAGATAAATTAGCATTTTAAGGTTTAATTGAAATATCGCACCACTTATGTACTTTTACCTGAGACTAATTCAAACACAGTAAATAGTATTTCCCACATAATGATAATAATATTAATTAACTAATTTCATTTAAAATAAAATATATAAATCAGAAAACGCAATTTTTAATTTTATTTCCTTTTATTTACTACAAATTTCTTAAGAAAACTATATAATTTTACAATGCTATTACAGTATTGAACTTGTAATTCTATACACTGTTAAATTGATTGCACAAATTTTTATAATTAAATCAGAACGTATTTATAACAAAAGATTTTGATATGCTAAGAAAATATATTTACAAAGTGAATAAAAGTAAAATGATATAAAATGTGATACCTGGTTTTCGGGTATTTAACAATATGACATGAATGATTATTAACAAGTATGTTCTGCGAAACAATATTTAATATAAACAATAATTTATAATGAAATGATGCAAAAAACTGAAGTTAAGCTATTGTATAGTATTTAAGTGTGATTTACATTAGTGACCATTTGAAGATTATTTATGTATATTATACAAAACTAAAAATATTGTCACATAACCGGCCAATTAACATTTACATTTACATTCTTATATTACAAAATTAGTGCTGATATAATGTTATTATTGATTAAAGTAATCGAATTGTGCACGAACCAATATATTAAGCTTTAATTATGATATGCAATAAATTAAAATCTGTAACAAAATAAAGAACTTGCAGATACAAAAAAAAAATTTTTGTTTATGAATTAACGAAAAATTTATAATATCGAATATTTTTCAGTAAAATTCGATAATATATTAAATGGTTTTCTTTAGAGCATGAAATATGTATGCATAGCTTGAGTTATGATGTGTTTATATTTATACAGTTGAAACTGTGCTAGACATGGGTTGCGGTGCTCTGGGACGTATCATCATCGTAGCCTTTTTCAAAGTATAATCCCATCCGCGCCAACGGAACCAGACAATGCCTTGACGAGCTGTCAAATCTTGCGGATCATGCAAATATAATCCATTTAAGCCTCTTCCGCAGGACTTCCACCACCAGCCACCCTGTTAAAATATAAAAATTAATTGATTTCATCTACTTCTATACTATTTACTTTTTACCTTAAGCATACTGGCACAATTTAGAGAACTTCTATCATTGTCTCGATTATATGTCGAAAATGGACTATTATTTGAACCATACCATGGATCATTTAGAGAATCCCCTGCATTGCCATCATAACCATCAATTTCAAGTTTATAATAATCCGCTTCTGAGTGTATTTTGAAGTGTGAGTATTGGGCGTATCTGAAAGGAAATACATTCAATATGGTATATAAAAAATGTTTATGTATTAGCAAAAAAATTTGTATTTTAAATAAACCCAATGAAAACTAATATAATTATAGTGTTCTTACCTTTTGTTTCCTTCAAAATCTTCTAGTTCAACTCGTAAAGCATAATCTTCGTTATTAGTAAGCATATATATATTTTCGTTGCCAAGCCAAAACTCTTTTGCAGGATCACCAAAACCATTTTTATAATCGGCCCAGTCTCGGTTGAAGTTTTCACGAGGCTCACCATAGTCATCACGTCTCTGTATAACCTGATATATTAATAGACATATTTAAAAAGTTATTATTACTTATGCTAGTTAGTTTTTTGGTTATTACCGTCCAACCACCATCAGTTACTTCTTGCTCACAAAATACCTTAAGGAACCAATACGTTGTGCCACGTATTTGTAAGTAAAACACACCGGATTGTCTCATTCCAGCGTTTAACAGGTCAACGCACGAGAAACCCTATTATTATTAAAAATTAGTTATAAAATTATATTTTGAATTTGATTTCATTTATATTGTATATACGCAACAATTTGATTTAACCATTCTAAGTTAAATTCGTTGTCTTTTCGCAGTGGGTTTAGGTAACATTCCAAAGTCTTAAACATTGTTTTTTTTTAAATTTTCGGTTATCTTTGAAAATTTGATTCATATTTATTTTTTAAGTATTTTGGGTATGTTATATATCGCATCTCAACAATACTTTTATAAACTGACATACAATTTTATTAAACCATTTAATTATTAACATTAAAAATTTTATTTTCTTTTCTGGCAGTCTTTATTATCATTAATAATCATTTAACTTAATTGCATTTAGCAAAGAAACTCGTATATGATTTTTTGTAAAAAAATTGTCAATATTTTCCATAATGTTAATAAAATTCTGACAAATATATAGAAAGTTCGATGTTTTTGATTCTGAATTCTAATCAGAAACACTTAGGTAGCTGAGAATTATATGAACAATGAATATTACATCCTTATAAGAAGTAATCAACTACTAGTGTTTTATCATAATATGTTAACTTATTCAATATGCGCCTATACCTCTCTTTAACTTATACGATAAGTATATATATATAAACTTTATATTTATATTAACTGAAATATAAATATATATATTTATATAGTGTGATAAATATTGTTATATTAATGTGAGGTGTAAAAATTCAAAATAATAAATTAATATTTTATACCTTCACTGTAGTGTTGCAGATAGAACAGCTGATTGATATACTAACAGAATAAAGTATTTTAATAAAGGCGCTTTTTGAAAAATTGTTTAGAAAAATGTGTAAACATTTCTGGGTAAAATTATTACCCTTATATTTTGCTATTGGAAGTGTGAATTGCGATAATCTATCGGTTGACGCAGAAAAGACATTGGTATGGGGACCAGGGCTCAAGCCAGATGAAGTTGTGCTCCCGGCACGTTATTTCTTTATACATGCTGTAGATAAAAATGGGCGGAAGTAGGATTTATTTAAAATCAAAAGAAATATACATTACACAATCTTTGTTCTAGGTTAAATCACTTACCAGCCCAAAAATTTGAAGTGCATATTAAAGGGAAGTCACCACATGGGAAGTGTCGGTCAATTGTTAATTTAATTGATCGCGGCGATGGATCCTTAATAGCACGTTATACCATTGCTGATTGGTGTGAAAAAGTTAAAATTGAAATACGTTATAATGGCACACAAGTAGCGCAATCACCATATTATGTGAGAAATAAAGTCTATTCAGCACGTTGCTATTGCCCTCAGGACCTTAATATTTGGTTACTTCACAACAATTGCCCAGCAGCTTTAGATGATAAACAAATCGAATGGGATTTGCATTCTTTTAAACGTGTTAACTTTAGTGCCATACGTGAAAATCTTCTAAAGCGTTATAATTCACCAGAAGCTATATCATTATGCCATTATGTAGTTAAACAACAACAAATTTGGCGACAATGCTATGGAAAATATACAGGTTTTAAAATGTTTATGGATGCTACCTTGTTGGCATTAGGAAGAGTAGCTTTACTTCCTGATATGGAATTTTATCTTAATTTGGGAGATTGGCCATTGTCAAAAAAAGGTGGGCAACAACGTACCTCTGGACCATATCCTATATTTTCATGGTGCGGAAGTGATGATTCGTATGATATAACACTACCAACATATGATATAACTGAATCTACCGTTGAAAATATGGGACGTGTCACTTTAGATATGCTTTCAGTGCAACGTCAGGAATATCCTTGGGAGACAAAAGAGGAAAAAGCTTTTTGGCGGGGCAGAGATTCACGTCGTGAACGGCTTGATTTAATTGATTTAGCTAGAAAACATTCTGAATATATAAATGCGTCACTAACTAATTTCTTTTTCTTTCCAAAAGAAGAATCTAAATATGGTCCAAAAGTACCTCATATATCTTTTATGGAATTTTTCAGAGTAAGTTTCATATTTTATATATTGATAAAAAAAAAACAAATTATGATTTGAAATTGGTTATTCTATAGAATAAATATCAAATTAATATTGATGGATCAGTAGCTTCTTATCGTTTTCCATATCTTTTGGCTGGAGATGGTTTAGTTTTTAAACAAGAATCACCCTACTATGAACATTTCTATAGCAAATTAGTTCCATATAAACATTATGTGCCATTTAAGCGTGATTTAAGTGATCTAATTGATAAGATTCAGTGGGCTAAAGAGAATGACGGACGCGCGCGGGAAATTGTCGCAGGAGCACGAGAATTTGCAGAACAAAACTTAATGCCACAAAATATTTATTGCTATCATTTAGCTTTATTTAAGGTAAGAATTAACAAACGGTCAAGTACTTTTTTAATTTAATCAGTAACGATTTTTATTAAAATCGTGCTGTTTTTGTATAGGAATGGAGCACTCGTCTAATATCACCAATAGCTATACTGCCAGGCATGGAAAAATTGGAGCAAACTTTCACTTGCTCATGTAAAGAGCCGCCCATTAAAGATGAGTTATAATTTTTTAATATTATTATTCGCGTCGATCCAGCCGATGTACTCATGTTTGTGCACATTACTCTTGCATATGTTGTTTTCCTTTTGGTTTACTGACTAAGAGTTGAATTTGATTTAATTCTAATTCCGTGATATTTATTTCTGAATATTTTTATCTAAAAGCTTGAAATAACACTTCAAATCTATTTATCTATTTAATTTAATTTTTTACGTGAAGTTTATTTCTTACAAATGGAATCTCATATCAATAGGTCAATTTTATATTATACTCTATTTTGAAATGCGTTTATATATTAGTATAATTTATTAAATTTTAAGTCAAACTTTATAGATAAGATTAACATAAAATATAATTCTAATATATGTATAAGCATAGTTATTGATTTAAATAGCACTTAATTATTATATATGTATAAAATATGTGTCTATATTAAAAAGTTTAGTAGCGCACCCAAAAAAACACAAAATAATTTGGATCAGAAACGTGAAAACTTTTTAAAAAAATAATTTAAATGAATGTATGCATCAAAATAGTTATCTATGTTAGAATTTCTTAATACCTGTTAAATGGATATTTATCCTTAAGTTAAACAATCACCTAATGTTTTAACTGTTAATTAAGTATTTGCATTTAAATATATAATTTCCTAATATTTTCTGTCGAACAGTATTGTATTTACAAAAACAAAAAACACTGTAATATACCTTTTCTACATATTTGTAATTTTGTATATTTTATACTCAATTTATACGGTAATTAAAAAACATAAGGAAACAAAATAATTAAAATATTTTACTGTGTACTTTAGCTGTAGTATAATAATTGGTCAATGTAGTGTTGTAAGTGTAATTGTATGTAAAATATATAAATAAAGTATTAATAAAATTAAATTAAAAACATTTAGTTTTCTTTAAAAAAATAAATATAATTTACGATACAAAGAAGCAATTGCCGTAATAAGTTTTATGAGAGGATACTAATTGTGTGCCAATCCGTTCAAGAGAAGTGAATGGCGAAAAGGGGTTAAGTATTTTCAAATAATATTAAAAATCTTTTACACAAGAGGTGTTTAATAAAGGTGTCAGATATTACTGAGTTATTCCTCGGTAGCAAAGAACTGCAACGAGTCATAATTTTAACACTCAGAAATACTTTCATAAAAAACTAAATATAAATGCGTATAAATGTTTTTCTCATACACTACTTATATGCATTCACATTCGCCACAGAAATGAATCATAAGTATGTTCGTTAATGAATGCTGGTGCTAGTGAATCAGCTTCACAAGAATAAGTACGATTCGTGAATCAAAGCATATACTCAGGTGAGTATGAATATACTCATCGAAAATGAATGACTCGATACTGTGTGGTGTTGTTAGCGGTGTAAATGCATGTGTTTTGTTTATGTTCTTCAATATTTCATTTGTATAAAATTAGGAATTGTTTTAATTGCAAATTATATGCACAGTAAACAAAAAAAGGAAATTTTCCTCCCTGTGACGTAATGGCTCATAAATCATTTACATCATTTTTGTGTCGAATGTCGGTGTTTATGAGTATCATATGAGCAAGGTATAAATCATTAAATTGCTGTCAGCTGTATGTATGATTTAGATCAGGGCTGTTCAATACGCGGTCCACGGGCCACATGTGGCCCGCGGTATCTACAACAGTTATGCAAATTTTCTTTTAGTGTACTGGTAAAACTACATTATTTTATTTTTATAGTATACCAAATAAATAAGTTTAAATTAATAAATTAATAAAACTAAATTCAACATTATAATCGTATTTTTATTTTTCTCCAGAATAACTATGTACGTATGCATTTGTTTCTGCGGCCCTCCAATCTGTACAGTGATTTGTATTTGACCGCGATCACATTTGATTTGGACAGCCCTGATTTAGATGATGTCGAATACACGAAAAAGGGAGTCAGAATGCATATATGTTAAATGAAACACAGTCAATGATTCGAGTCTTGAGTACTCATTGCAATTCTTTGCTGGACAGTAGCTGCTGAAATCTTTAAAAAATATAATATAGAAATGTGTTTGTGTTTATGCTGAAAGTTTTCTACTTAGACGACTATAGTATAGTAGTAGTTGATATTGAATTGTGTAGTTATATTAGAAATAAAATATTTTGTATATTTTTACTCTATTTTTAAACAGTAAAACTTAAATATATACAGTTAATTCTCGGGGTAACCTCGATAGTCTAGTGGTTAGCAACTTTGATTATTGCTACTGAAATCCGAGTTCAAATTTCACTGAGGAAATAGATTTCATATAGGATTATAACATTATATTGGGTAGTCTTTAAATCAAGAGTTTATTGCATATATATATACATATATAACCTATATTAGTGTAATCTTTCTAATAGGTGTTTTTTAAGCTGCATGATAACTGTCGATATCTATAACTATAATTTGACATGCGAGAATATCAAACTGTGTTGACTTTTCTCTTCAGTAAAGCTTTGCAATTCATCATGAATCGTTTAAAGCTAGAACAATGCTTCCAAATTGTGGAAATTTACTTTGGAAAAATTTAATCTGTTTGCAAAGTTCATAGACTTTATAGAGGATTGCCCATTTAAGGGTCAACATAATGGCTATGCCAATAAACAAAATTGCCGTATATGGAGCGAAGATAATCCTTAAGCCGTTAACGAATCACCATTACATCCATTAAAATTGACGATTTGGTGTGGTTTACACGCTGACGGTATCATCGGTCCTTATTTCTTTCGAAATGAGAAAGAAGCTGTCGTTACGGTGAATGGCAAGCGCTACCGAGCCATGCTGATTGAATTTTTGATTATTAATTAATCTAAATCACAATATCATGTCATAAAAACATGATATGTATACAACGAATATTCTTTTGACGAACACTCATTTTCAGTCAATTTCGTTTAAGAGGAGTGCTCAGCTAAAAAAGTTTGACTTTTTCCATATAATATATATAATAAAAAAAATTTGGTTTTAGAAAAATTTTCCACCTAAAATAGAATGTCTAAATCTCATCTTATAGAAATGTATGCATATTTTGGTTTACCTTGATGTCCTTCAGTGTTAGTATATCGGTTGAAAATGTTGTATTGACAACAGATGGCTTATTTTTAACGCTTGGGAATATAATGCCACCTTTTTTGGGTTTTATTGCCGTTGCTGATGTTGAGGTACTGGTACTAGACGCTAATGAGGAATTTGTTGTGTTTGCAGAAATGGTAAACACACTGCTCAAAGTTGTACTTGTTGTATTAGCTGCAGTTGTCGCTGTTTGATTTTGCACTGGCACAGTTGAGGAGCTGGCAGTTGTTGCAATTGGTGTAGCAACTGAAGTTGGTACAACTGAAGTACTATTTGCATAAGATATTGTAGATAACGGTGTAGTTGGATTACTAGATTCTGTAATTTCATCAACAATGGAATATCTGTAGAATGAATAGAGAAATCAGTCTGCTATTATTATAAAAACAATTTTATATTAGTACCTATTGGGATCATATTCCACCAAACGATCGATTGTTGGATCCATTAACAGTTCAGGTGGTACAGGACGTTGTGCTAAGATTTGTACATCATCTTCCTGTTTCTTTAAACGTTTTTCTACCATGTCCAAATTGTTAATAATCAAATTAGTTTTAGTTTTCAAATCATGGTGAATTTCTCCAATCGCACGTTCCTGACGTTGTGTTTGTGTTAGCAATGCATCTGATTTCGGCAATAAATGATCAACAGATGATTTCGTACCTACAACAACATCCCATACTTCGTCCATTTTTTCTGAAACTGATACCATTGGACGTATTTGCTTAACCAGTGCATCAATTTTACTTGATTTGATAATCGGTAATGCTGTTGTTGTTGCATTTAATGCATTCAATTGTTCATTATGATCGACAACTGCTTCATGTATGTCACCAACCATGCGTAGCATGCGTCCTACATTCTCGGATACAATATTAATATGAAATTGCAATTTTTTATCAATATTATCAGTTGTATCGCGTAACTCATTCAGTTCAGTTGCTAACATTGCCTTAGTTATCTCAATTACATTCATGCTAATTGGTTTCTTCTCACTTGCCTCCACGTTAATATCATCAACTTGCAAAAAGTTGTTGTCGATTTGAGTTTTGAGTACTTCCAGTTTCGAATCAATGTCACTAACCTTTTGATCTAATAGAACAAGACGGTTATCAAGTTGCAAGCTTGAAGAAAATATTGGACTAGAACCCGTTGGTATGGTAGTTGTCGAGTCATCATTTATTGGAATGTTTATGTCATTAGATAGTTTGATGTCTAAAGAATTTAGTTTTGATATTACAGAATCAGTTTTAATTATATTATCAGCAACACGATTGTCTAATGCTTCCATGCGGCGCATCATGTGCTCCACTGATTTGTCCAAGTTGTCAATTCGTTTTAGTTTCCCTTCAAGAGTCGATATGATCACTTCAAATATATTAAGCAATTGCTGTTCTCTGTAATTATAATAATAAAAAAAAAAACATGATATCAAACAAAGTTTTCATTGGTTGTATAAAAAAAATAATAACTTAAAAGCAAGTACTATCTGCGAGTAATGGTTCTGAATTATTATTACTTTTTTAACCTAAATAATATAAGTGCTTGTAATAAAGTAATTAACTAAATTGATTGGAATTGGTCCGCTACCGTTTAAAGGTTAGCCAAGCAATTAACTGTCGATAATTCATCAAATTGCCTGCAACCAGTTTTGTAGACAAGCAAGAATTTTGATAAGTTGTTGCATATAAAAGTGCGTCAAACGAAAGTTGATTTCGTTAGAATCTAAAAGATCTAAGATACATTTTGAGCACAGGTTCTTGTGCTGTTAGAAATCGCAAATTGATGTCTTTTTTTTGCATGTATATATGTATTCTAATATGTCTTTATAAGATGTTAGCAAATATTATAAAAAAAAAGTCCAAATGGTTTATAATAATTTTCACTGCAATTTTTATATTTTTTTTTTCGTAATTGTTTACAAAATAGTGATTTAAAATTAATAAGCTTCACATGCCTAAATATGTGCCATTTTCTGTAATTATTTGTTTGCGTAAATATTTACAAAAAAAATATTTAAAAAGTTAAGACTACTTAAATCATTTCACGACCACTTGAGATATTGATTGATGATCTCTTAAAAAATTTGTCGCAATACAATTGCAAGTCTAATTTAAAAAAAAAAAACCAAAAATTATTTCATATTAAATAAGTGAATTGCAATATTTTTTGCTGACTTGCTTAATATTTTTTTTTATTTCGTTAATTGATATTTAATAAATCATTACTGTTATTAGTGGTGTTCGTTTATGTAATGTAATGTATGTACTCACATGAGAGTGGGTGTATGATGCTGTCAATAATGTTGCTTAATTGTCACAAACTTTCAATGGGATTCGTTCGAAGTCATTTTTGAAAGTTGTTATGTTAATACACATAGAAGAACCAAAAAAGGTGTTTAAAAAATAAAAATTACTAACGAAACACAAATGTAAAGATAATGCTAATCTGCACTAATGTTATTGACAACAATAAATAGATTTTGTGTCAAATAAAAGTATCATTTATTATATTGCATAATTCATTTTAAATATATAATTATTTAATTTAATAGCGCATTTTAGTACTTTATTGTTTTTACTTAGTTTAAACAAACAAAGTTTAAAGAGTCTCCACAACCAGTTTTAATCTGATTGTTAAAGAAACCAATGCGTTAATTACCCTCTGACAGAGTACTGTCGATATATGTTACAATATTCGCTTATAACATTATAGATTACTTACAGTTTAAAGTATTTTTTTAGAAGATTAGGGGTCTATGGAGTTAACTTTTGACATAATATGTATAGTGCTCACACATATTTCTACAAAGTCTCAGTTGTTCTAGAAAAGTTTATTACTCACCAGTGCTTCTTCTTCGTTGAAGCTTAGAGGATAAGTTTCCCTAACTCTTATCTTTTTGAGCATTAGCAGTTTTTTTCGTGAAAAACTTACTATTACAGTTTTGGGTGGGTTGGAATCAAATCATAAATAGCTTATTCTATACTTCTTATTCAAACAGCTAATTGAAACGTAAATATATAACTCCACTACACACTGCAGTTTTCATTAAAAAGAACACAATGAAAGGCGATGCTCAAATAATACATAGATAATGTATTGTGATAATAAAAGTTGTTTTAATCGAACATTAGGCCTTAATTGAACTTGAACATATTTGACGGTTTTTATATGTTATGATAAGCTACTAGTCTATCCCCCAGAAGACATCGTTCTACTCTGTAGAATCTGCTACGAAATTGGCAGATTCTGGTCTCTCAAGGGCCTATATTGTTGAAACCACATCATGATTGTTCTCACTACTATCAGAAATGTAGAGAGAGTTTCGATATCTATTAAAAACTGTCTCTGTAATTATACAGTATATAATTAAAACCAAAGCATGAACACATTAGTCACTGCTTCGATATGAATTCTTACCCCTTTTGACATTGAAATAAAAATTAACTTTTAAGGTTGAAGAGATTTTGTATAAGGTATAAGAACTTGCCCATATTATGTTAGGCGTTGGGTCTAGCGATGCCATGTTAATGGGGTGACAAATTTATGCTAAAGCTGAGACCGGGGTGCAATATTTCATTTCAATTTCAATATTCTTTAAGATTTTGATGCCGTTCTTGTAGAAACTTTAGCATCGAAATATGTTTAAGTTTCGACAATTACCCCTTCATTGAAACCAAATGTATTATTCTGAAAGTCTTTGATTCTAGAGACAAATGAAGAAACCAGGTTTCATTCATTGTTATATATCGTGTGAAAATATCTATTTGATTGCATTACAAAAGCTGCAAATAGCTTCCTAAATCGACGATAATCAGTTGAGCAAAACCATTATGAGCAAAAGTGGAATTTATTATGAATACAATTTTCTGAGATGTTTAAGGTTTCAATTATATCAGATTTTTCAGATCGAATTTTTTTTTATGTATTTCTAGTAATCAATGGTGCCCGTAAGCTTACAGCATTATCTATGATTGTGATTATGTTTATACTCAAAAAAATCACCAACAAACAGTTGCTTTAGACAGAGTAGGGGCACCATAACGCTTTTTAAACCATTGCTCTATAGGATTGAATAGATTTGAATAGAACTTTTTTCTATTAAGAAACAAAACAATCAGAATATTTCGTTGGTACAGAAATTGCAAAAATAGAATTATGTAACCACTTTAATTTATTAACTAATTGTTTGGTTTGAAGGTTCCGAAAAATCATATGGATATGTTAACAGTGGCAACATCTTTATATCATTCTACTCGTAAGACATAAATAAACAATACTCCGAGATTTAGTTTTGCGGCAAAAGGCAATCAGACAATTATATGTTTTGGATTTCTTAACTGTTAAGAGTAAATGAATCACGGTATTTAATAAAAAGGTTTTCTACCGACTTAACAGCCTGATTGTATGAAAATCTACATATTTTGTCAACTTTAAAATATTTTCAAGTGAATACATTTTATATGATAGCTTTAAATATAATATCAGTGTATTAATATCGCTACAATAAAAATAAAAATTAAGTTGTTGTCCGATTTTTAAAGAGAAAATGTGTTATATGTTTTTAAGTTGTAAAATATTTTATTTGCATAACACATAATAAATATAATGCAAAAATGTAGCTTGCAGATATAAATAGTGAACAAATCTATTATTGTAAATATATATTTATTTATTTTTACTTTAATTTACACAAGTAATCAAATCAAAACTTTTTTCCTGTCGATTTCATTTACGTTATTGGTAAGCCGGTTTGTTATAGGAAAAAACCAAAGACTCAAGCTACGAACTTGGTATTGATGACCAAAATTATGTTGTGTTTGAAGGTTTGTAGCAAATCTGTAAAGTCTGTGTGAGTAGTTACATTTCAAAAAAATAAAAAACAAAAAAAAACAAAATAAAAAGCAACATTAAATAAAACAAGCATAACAACATAAATCATAACTTGAAAACAAAACGAAACCATTTATTGCAAATACTTTATAATTTCGTCAGCAACTTAAATTATTTAAAATTATTTAAAATTGCAATTTGAAAAACGGAAATCGAAAAATTTGCCACGATAAATAATTTGACATAATTTATTTATGTATTTTAATTTTAATTTGAATTTGATTTTTTTTTTTTTTGCATTTATTGACACTGCTACTTCTCATTTCCGCACCAAAGATAATTTCATGCAAGCTGAACTGAAATTGTTAATCCAGTAATGATGCCAATTGTTAATATGAAGTGAGTGGCACATAAAGCGCTAACAATTTCAATGAATTCATTAAATCGACTGACTTAAATATTTTCCTCAAAGTTTTTGCTGCAGTCGCCAAGGCGGCAAATTAAATGTTTGGTAACTTTTGAGAAAACTGGGTCACGCCGGTATGCACACCAAGTAACCACAGCAAAGCGAATTTTTATAAACTTTTTAGAATGTTAAATTTGGAATTGTCTTGGTCTTTTGTTTTGCCCGCTTTGCATAAATTAAAAGTTGAATAAATAATGAAAACTTTATTAAAACTAAAATTTGTGATAAAAGCATTGCAGATAAACTTCAAATTTAGAGTACGTAAGCTACTATAGCTTATTTCAAGTGATTATGCGTTAAACTTTTGATATTACATTAGAAATTGAGAAAGATAAGCAGACGCGTTACTGGAGGAGTGGTTGAGTCCATCCATATACAGTTATTGGAAATGAATAGAAATTAAACTTATATACATATATGCATATTCAAAGTTGATGCATCATGTCACACACAGCTATAATTAAATTAATAAATAAAAATATATGAAAGCATCGCCCCCTAAATAAAGTTTTGACTATGCATCTGCGGATAAGCTGTAGCCAAATTTTTATACTTGTAAAGCTTATACATTCAGTGGTTCTTACATAGCAACACTGGTGCAGCACTATATGTCAAACAGAATTGATGTCAGAATTGAAGCATCATATGTTTAGCTTAAGGGTCGCCATTTTGTGTACATATGTCGAATAGAACTGTCAACTTCGGCATGAAATGTTTTGTTGAAGGATTATTCTTCTTCACTTAATTCTGCCGCTTAATTTTATTTCTTAATTATTATTTCGTTGATATCCTTTTTGTTTACAATATTTAATTATTTGTTATAAATTCTTAATTCTAAATTAATTTTTAATTTAATTTTTTTGTAATTGTTTTGTAAATTGTTATTTATTGTGTATATATTATTTATCTTTTTATCATTTATTGTTAGTTTTTAAGTTTGTTCTAAGGTGATGCAACAAAAGGGACTTTCCCTTAACGCATTTTTAAAATAATTAAAAATAAAATAAATAAATAAAATAAAATTATTATTTTATAATATGGATCATTTAAAAACTGCTGCTGAACGTATTAAAATTGTTATAATTTATTTAAAAATTA